TTTTTTATGTATGAGCGTCTCAACTTGTCTGACTTTGTGAAAAAAATAGTTGTAGTGGCAGTTTTGATTTTGGGCGTCATAGCATTGTTTCGTCAAGATAGCCTTACTAATTTGAGTTTTGGTTAGTTGAAACAGTTAAACCTTTTATCTAAATTTTTTAACTTTTTGCATTTTTAAGTTTTTAAGTCAAATGTATAAAAATATTTTACAAATTTTTTAAAATAATCAGTTTAAAAGTAGTAATTTTTTTTATTTTTTATTTTTACTAGCTAACTTGTCACTTCCGTTTGCAAGTACTTTCCGTTTTCATATTAATGTCCAGTCATAAATCCGGTTTGCCACAATAATTTTTATTTTTTTTGTAAAAATCTCATTTTTTAGTTTTGAATATTTAAAAAAGTACAAAATACATTAAATATTTAGGATGCCAGTTAATGTAAAAACACAAAAGTTTAGAATTCAGCATTTTTTCAAACTACCAAACAAATTATTTTCCAACTAGTCAACTAGTCAAAATATTTAAGTGATAATATTCAGTGATGTTCACACTCATTACTTGCATATGTTGTTTTTTAAAACAGTAGAGCAGTTTGACCAGCAACAGTAACGTCAAAGGATTGACGCACAGGCAAACTCATTACAAAATTTTGATTAAAATTAGAAAGAAATAAACTCAAGCTGTCAATGGCGTGTCTGTTCTGTAACAGAATAACGGCCTCGGTTACGGCCGATCACGGCAGAAGAGTCAATTTCAAATGGCGCATTCAACGGTTGTCAGACAATGATTTTATGTAAACTAACTTTAGAGTGTAAAATTAAAAATGAAGTGCCGTAATTACTGCGCCGATAATTAATATTTACGTGCAAGTTAACTGTTCATTGGTTAGTCTTTAAAAAATAGCAAAAGCAGATGTTTTAGATAGACACTCGGTGTCATTGCATTTTGTTCTATCATTTAGAAGAAGGGCAAAAACAGTGAAATTGATCATTTGGTTATCTGACCTGCTAAAGTCAGCATCGCACAAAATATTATTTTCAAAGTTTAATTGTTTACTTTTGTTAAATAAAATAAATGAAAATAAATCAGCAAATTTAACATGGATCACCGTCGCTCTCAAAAACCTCCTTGTACTTGCTCTAAATCTTGCTATTCACCTAAACAGACATCTGAAACAAATCACCGCAACAATGACAAAAAAGTGAACCCTAAACCACTTTACTGTTCTGATTCTTTCCTGCCGGCACCAAACATAAATTCGTCTCCTTTTAAATCGCTGCATTCAGTATTTAAAACTGAAAAAAATGAAAAAACAATCACAACATTTGATAGAAAGAGTAAAACTTTGAAAATCAGTCACACAGTTAAGCAGAAACAAAATCTAGTGATGATGCCGCCTAAGCAACAACAACAGCAGCGTTCTTCAAAGGATTGTAATGAGAAAGTAAATATGCCAGCAGCTCCTGAACCGTCAGCTCCACCAATGACACTAGCACTGCAGCCACTTCTGTCACCACCACCACAATATAAATCCACACTTTCACTAGCAAACTATTTCGAAAAGGATGATCAATTGCCTTCTTCTTCAAAGCATCAACAGCCAGCACCATCTCCAGCACATCATCGGCAAGCATCACCGATGCAAAAGAGCAAGCAGTTCTTGGCTCAAGGTGGCACACTGACAACATCTTCTCAACCGAAACTCTCCCCGCCAACATCTGCTGAGAAATTGGCCCTACTGAGCAAGTACTTCTCCGGCAGTCGGCCACCACCAACACCACCGGAGCTGCTGTCGCCGGCCACAACTGAGCAGAAGTCGGTGATAATGGCCAAGTACTTTGCCAGCGGCAGACCACCGCCGCCACCGCCCAATCAGTCACTACCGCCCTTCTTTCTGCAGTCACCACCACCACCACTACCGCCGCCGCCGCAGTTGACAGCTGAGCTGATGAACAAATTCTTTCCAATTCAGTACTACTCTACCAACCAGTGTCCTCTGTGCATGCAAGAAGTAGCCGAAATCTTGAAAAAGTCAAAGTATTAAACAACAATTNACCACCACTACCGCCGCCGCCGCAGTTGACAGCTGAGCTGATGAACAAATTCTTTCCAATTCAGTACTACTCTACCAACCAGTGTCCTCTGTGCATGCAAGAAGTAGCCGAAATCTTGAAAAAGTCAAAGTATTAAACAACAATTTTTTTGCAAAACGTTGTTAACGTGTTTTATCTTTGCAAATATTGCAGAATACACAACAAAAAGTTTAATTTAGTTACATTTGTCTAGTTTTTTTCAAACTTAAATGTAAACTCTTTTTCTATGTTACCAGCAATAAAGTAGTTACCACTGTAGTACAACATAATCATGTAACAACAGGGGCGTTTCGAACCTTTTTTTCGTATTCCCATCATATTATTGACTTGCAATTAATTGAGTGTCCATTTATTCATTTTTTGATTATTTAATTTTAAATATTTTTTAAAAATAAAACATCAACTGTTTTACGAAAATGTTTAACAAAACAAACGATCATTTTTTCTTTTGAATACACTTTTAGTGCAATCACTACTTACTAGAGGCAACACCTGACTATTAAAAATTGCAAAAGGGATTATTGGCATTCAATAAGAGCACCGTTAACTGTGCTAACTACAGCTTGACAACGTTTTGATAACGGTAGAGAAAGAGAGCTTGGACACCGGTAAATGGTAGCGCTTCCATTGACTTTGTTTTGCAAAAAAACTTTTACACTTATTTTGATGCAGGACAACTGATGCTGAGCCATCACCTGCACCACCACTTGCTATTGACACAACAGCACAAAGTAAAATGATAACAGATTAGCACTGGTTGCTAGGCAACTTCTTATCAAGGCAGAAATAAAGTAGATGAGTGATGTCCGGTGAGCAAGTCAGCAGCAACAGCCTAAAAAACGGAACAGGTGCTGCAAAAAAAGTTGCAAAGAGTGATGATGGGGATGATGATAAACGAGTGGTGATGGTGGTGGTGGTGATGATGATGATGATGGTGACCAAGGGTGACAGCGACACCCGCCGATGCCTGTGTCTTAAGGACGTTGCAAACAGTTGCAGTAATCTCAGTGTGTGTGTGTACGTACACCTCATTCACCTTACCTTTGCTTGCTGTGTTGAGTTGAGGCACCGCCTTTGCGCATTCCATTTGTCTGGATGTGACGACGACATCGCCATTTGCTGGCTTCCAGAAAACTGAAAGAGGAGCCAGAACGCAACCAGAACGCCAGTTGCTGATCGACAAAATCTACCACACCTGCTGCTGCTGCTGCTGCTGCAATTTTCTTTCTTGCACACGCATTTTCTCTCTCCTTTTGGGTGGGTGCTTTTTTAAAACTTTTTTGTGTTTTAATAACTCAATAGCCATTTTTTGTTTCATGTTATTTCGAATTAGTAAGATTTATCAAAACGATAATCAAGTCAACTAAAACTAGAAAACTTAACAAGTTTTAACATTTAAAAAAAGTCAAAATGCTGAAAAAAAGCACTTTTGTCTACCTGGCTTTGGCGCTTGGTAAGTGAAGTTGGAAAATTGTGCAATTGTTTATAAAAACTACTTAAAAATTTTAACATTTGTACATTTCAATTTTGTTTTATTTCCTATTTTTTATCCAGTATTTATTGAGTCGACCTTTGCACAACCTTACATTGGCGGCGCCTACGATATCGGTGAGGGACGACATGGAGAACGACGAGGTAAGCAGTAGTTTAGTTTAGGGTACACTAAAATTAAGCTACCAAAATTCTATAACCACAAAAAATCGTTTACTAATCAACTTTGCAGGCGACCTCGGCCCGGCAGGCATCGCCGGCGTGACCATCGGCGCGGTGGCCGTCTGTGCGGCCCTCATCGTCACCATCTACTTCTGCTACGCATCAACGGTCAACTCACAGCAACAGCAACCGGGGCCACCGCCCAATGGCGCCAACTACCACAACACCAAGTACCAGATGGCCAACAGCGCCTAAAAGAGGGAAGAAGATGTCTTCACGAACTAAGCACAAAGTAACTCTCCACAAACTGTACGATGTGAAGTCAAACAAAACAGCAGTGACAACGGTAGTGGCACCTTGTGGCGCCCAACTTTAATACATCCACACGCAATATTTTTTCATTTTTCGTATTTACACATTGACTACAAACTTTTTATGTTCATTTTTCAACTTTCAAATTTTTAAGTTTCTAAATTGATTTTTTACTCTTNGCAATATTTTTTCATTTTTCGTATTTACACATTGACTACAAACTTTTTATGCTCATTTTTCAACTTTCAAATTTTTAAGTTTCTAAATTGATTTTTTACTCTTTCATCACACCTTTTACTGTAAATAACTACACCAGTGTTCCAGACTTTTTGTGTTTTACCATTAAGTTTTATCATTTTTAATATTGCTAAACTAAATGCAAAATGTTAATTTAAAAAATCTTACAGAAATTAGCATTCAAAATTAAAATATTTTTATTTTTACAAAACATTTGCATAACATTTTGTTTTTACATTTTGTTTTTACATTTTGTTTGTAGTTAAAATAAATAAAAAATAAAACTCATTATTTAAAAAATTTGTACTTAATGTACTTTGATTGACTTTTTTATTGTGTGTTTCTAAAATCATTTTAACATTAAAACAGAAACACAATAAAACAAAGTTTTTAAAATATTTATAATTGAACAAAACACATGATTAACTTTTAACATATTTAGTAGATTTTTCAAATGACATTGTTCATTAAAACACAAACCCAAGATCACAGCTAGTGGCACAATTTGCTGACGTTTTTTGCATTTTAATAAAATTTGGAAAACAATATAATTAAAAT